CCGCGGGGACAGAGTCCCTGCCTCCGCCCGGCCCGCTGGCCTCGGCGCCCGGGTTTCATCCCAGCGCGGTCCCTGACTGAGCCCTGGAGGGGAGGCTGGCGACTGCGCACCTTCCTTCCTTGAAGGTGGGACGTGCGCCCCGCCGCTTCCCTGCCCGGTGATGATACTTCTGGCCGCTCCGGAACAGTTCGCAGGCACCCGACGTGTGTTGTTGCATCCTCTGTCCTCACTCACCCTCCACAGTCAGCGTTTTGTTCGTGAATGAATTGTCGGGGTAATGGGGCTGGAATAGGCTTTTTAAGATCAAGATTTGATATTAAGATTTGGTTTTAAGTATTCCCTTTAATTGCTTTAACGTTCTGTTTGACTTCACTTGTTGAGGTTGTCCGAGCTTAGTGAGCACGGTTTTGGAAGCTGAACCCTGATAATCTCTCTCTCAGGGAATGGTTTCCAGTGGGGTATCCTGAGGTTGGGGAATTCAGGTAGGGTACACAGGAATCGGAGCGGGCAAGTCGGTTTCACCCTTGAGGTGGGTTAGAGGGAAGAACGCCAGTTAGGCGTTTCTGAGCAAGTAAGATACAGGACTCTGACACGTGGACTGGCTTATTAGAAATACGTTAAATCTAAATTGTACTTCAACATTTGCTGTTAACCAGCACCAAACGCAAGTGGCCTATTATCTCAGCGTCTAAGCCTGGTAAGGCAGGGATGATCAATTATTTTATCTTAGAGGTGACTTCAACTCCTGAATTCTATCATCTCACCAAATTAGAGAAAGGAGAATGTGTATGAAATACAATCGAATAGTAAATAAATTTCTTGTGCAGGCACAATAGGTAGATATTGACTTGCAGTCTACTCTGCTGAAAGTATCGGACCAACCCTCTTAGTAATTGTATCTGTACTATTCTCATCTTGTGTCCGCTTGACCTGGTGCACAATTTACACACAAAACACTTTTGGCAATAAGTAAGTGCTGAGCTGTAGTTGTGCTTCTTTTTTCATTGATTAGAACACTACATACAGTCATATTTATAGCAGCAAATGCTTTAGTGTTTACAATACACGGTTTTTGTTCAAACTAAAAAGCTGGACGGTTTATTTCTATAAATGGGAGTTTTAACAGGAAACACTTAAAAAGGTGATATTTTATATTGAGCATTTTCATTTATTGATCAGTTAATCTGTTTGGCTGCGGTACTCTAGTGATAACTGTAAGGCAGTGGTGTCTGTACTTTGAGATGCAAATGATCACTCCTTTACAAATGCAAATACTCATAAGGGTGATGTCCTGGGAAGTCCTGCCAGAGGAACCATTTATTCGTAGCCCGGAGCAATTGGCATTTACGGCGATGAGTCACAATTTAAGGTGAAGTTTCACTTGGTGTAGAATTTCTCTTTGGCAGTTTCCTCATCTGTGGTACTACTGATTACTTTCTGGTTGAACTTTTAACCACGTGTTCAGAACATTTTAGTTGACTCTAGTAAGCTTGCTTGAAATGTAGCTTTTTGCTTGGAAGAATTCCATTTTTAAGATTTAAATTTGGCTTCACAGCAATGCTGATCGTTAATTTCAGTTTATATCGGGTCAGAGGATGTGCAGCTGTTTGTAAGTGATCTTTAAGGCATTTTCCAGTGTCAGATAGTGTTTGGTTTGGTCTTCTCTGATACTGGGGATTGAACCCAGGGCCTTTAGCATGCTGAGTACTCCACCACTGAGCTGCTGCATCTCAGCCCTTTTTGAATTTTTTATTTTGACACAGGTTCTTGCAGTGTTGCTCAGGCTGCCTTCAGACGTGTGATCCTTCTGTCTTAGCTTCCCAAGTAGCTGAGATTACAGATGTGCACCACCATGCCCAATTTAGGATAGTTATTTGAGAATATTTTGTAGAGAGTAAGTTTCAATACCACTTGGTAGTTTAAAATAAAAAATAATTTTCTTTAAAAAAAATTAGAAAAGAATGAATAACCTGTCTCCTTTAAAGGTGCAGTCCTCTTCTGTGTGTACATCAGAGATTGTTACATTAAATATTGCAAAAAATTATATAGAGATACTTAACAGACTTGATTAGATTAATGTAGTCA